GTATGTCAAACCAGCCCTCTGAAACTTCAAAATGCATATACCCTCTGAGATCGTGATTTCTACATTCAGAACGGGTGCTATATATAACTCATATATGCATGAAATAATGCCTGACAAGAAGTTACAGTAGTTGGGGGCTGGAGAGATAGTATAGTGGATAGGACGCTTGCTTCACACATGACTGACCCAGATTCAATCCCCAGCATCCCATATGGTCCCCTGAGCACCACCACAAATAATTCCTGAGTGAAGAGTTAGGAGTAACACCTGAGCATCATCAAGTGTGATTCCAAACAAACCGAAAAAGGTTACAGTAGGGAGTTAGCTGATGAATTACAGTATACTCACAGGAATAAATTCTCCAAAGTCATGAAAAAGGTAAAAGAAAGTTCTGCGGATATAGATATGGAAAGCTTTCAAAGGTATTAAGCTTTAAAAAGAAGTTTCAGACAAAAGCACCTAACGAACTAAATTTTCCTCTCTCTGTCCTTTCTCCCCTTCTGAAATTTAGAACGAAATGACTAAAAATCAAAATCTTGCTTTTTAAAATCCTACCATTTAATGCAAGTGGCCTTGGATTCAAGCTCCCAACACCAAAGACCAAACTAGAAAAAAGAAAATTAATTTAAAAAAATAGTTTACTCTTTGGCTAGAATGCATGATTGCCAAGTAGAAACTCCTAATCCATGGACAGCACTTGCTGTTCTTGCTAGCTGTGATGGAAGGCCATATTTCAAGTCAAGACTGAGTTCAAAAACTGTTTATTACTTGAAAGGGCAACGTCAAAGTTAGCACACAGATGAAAGGGAGCCAGTAGTCCGGAACCTCTTAGGACCACAGCTTCTCATCCTGATTATGCTTTAGAGCCACCTGGGAATGTTCTAAAACTACCACAGGCCCCTCTCCCATGCCCAGACTATATCTGATGCTTGGAGGATGGGCCCAAGCATACAACCACTGATGAAAAAACTTATTTTCCCTCACTGAACAGTAACTTTATTGAAAAAGGGAGACGTCAACTCCATCCCTCCCTCAGCGGTCCTAGCAGGTGGCACAGTCTCAGGCTTAGGCAACTCTGGGCATCCTGGATAACAAAGCAGGGCAGGAAGCATCCATCCCCACTGTGACCAGGCGGGAGGTTTCACCTCCCCACTGGCTCAGAGCTCTGAATCTCTCTGGGCCACAGGGAGAGCTACGCTGGGGATCTAAATGCTGAGGCAGTGCTCCTCGACAGAATGCCACAGCTCTGTGTGGGGACACAGTCATGCCCCAATGGGGGTCGGGAAGGGGTCTTACTGGTGCTCTAATGAACCTCTCACAGTGCACAGCACAGCTCTTGCCTCAAGAGTGAACCCCCACATCCCGAAATGTCAAGGGTGCTGAGATAGGGAATCACTCAGCTGGAAAGGTAGTAGCAGGTTAAGACATAAACCTTGAAAGCAGCTGGCCTCACTTCACTAGTCAGCACCACATGGTCATCTAAAAGTGTTTCTTTTAGATGAGAGGAGATTCGGCCACAACATTTCTCAAAGAAGGGCCAAAATATGTCCCCCAGAATATTCCAAGAGGGACACAGATGAAAATGCCGTCAGTGGAGGGGGCCACAGAATGAAACTAGGGGGCAACCAGTAGGAGGGGGTTGAGGGGAACCCCTGGAATGAAACAAGGTCAGAAGGGGCCTATAGTGGGAACAAGGCTAAGAAAACGCTGCTCTGAAAGTAGATGAAAGACCAAACATGATAACCTCTCAGGGTCTGTATTGCAAACCATAATGCCCAAAAGTAGAGAGAGAGTATGGGGAATCATGTCTTCCATGGAGGCAGAGGGAGGGTGGGAAACGGGGGTTATACCAGGGATATAGGTGGTGGGGAATTTTCACTAGTGGAGGGACGGGTGTTTGATCATTGTGTGATTGTAACCCAAACATGAAAGCTTATAACTATCTCACGGTGATTCAATAAAATTTAAAAAAAAAAAAAAAGAAAGAAAAGAAAATGCTGCTCTAGAACAATCGCACACCCCAAACTACCCAAATCACAAAACCAGTTTCTGGGGGCCAGGAGCTGACTCTGTGGCTAGAGCAACCACCTTGCAAGCCTCACGTCATGAAAGAATTTGATCCCTGGTGCCACCATACCTGCCCAACCCAAATCTGGCAGCAGGACCAAGCTCGGCGAGCGATTTCTGGACAGACTCAAGGCAGGTGTGTGCAGGCACTGCAACTGAAACGTGTGGACACAGGGAGCACCACAACTAAAAAGATGTGTGAGCACCGTGCCAGGAGCCCCACCCATGAGCACTCTGCCAGGAGCTCCACCCCACCAACACGTGTGTGAGCAGCACCACGTCACAGCGAAACAGCAGCAGGGGGAAGGGCAGGAAAGAGGCAAAATCACCGCTCCTCAACAACCTGTTTTAGTGTCCAAACAGGGAATGCTAACATGGCTACAAAGAGATGGTCACAGACACTACAATGGACTGATGTGATTATAACATGGACTAGGAAATCTAAAATTCCATGGAGAGCCTTTCTCTGGTCCCTGTGTGTTGACTCTACTCAAAACAAAGTATGACTTGTTCGTGGAAGAGCCAAGGAGAAAGTCATAAATTTAACAAAGTGGGACCTGCAAGTCAACAACGCCTATGCCTCTATTCTGGGGAGGCCCAAATCTTTTTAGACCCAGTGGGTACCATTTACCTGCCCCTTGGGGCCATCCAGGAGCCTGCCACAGCCCCACCTGCGGCTCGTATACTCACTGGCTGCTCCCTTCCTGGCCTTTTAAGCACTTGGGAACCTGCAGCTTTCTCCATCAGAGAGGGCCAGAAAGCTGCTTTCCTCTTCCTCATCACCTCAAAATATCCCTACACCCTTTTCTAAATTCTCAAACTCCCACAACACTTGCCAAAATAGAATTGCTACCAAGAGACAGAAGAAATCAGGGTAAGGCAGGAGAGATGGCTTGGTGAAACTACTCCGTTCTTTCAGATGGCAGGGGTTTCAAGATAGGCTGCCTGCCACCTGATTCACCTCTGTATATTACAAAGTAGACTTGCCATTTCTAGCAAATTCCACCAGGCTCATAGCACTCATTGGCGAGCTTCCTTATAAGGAAAAGATTTCAATGATTTTAATGGGCTTCTCCCATTATCTTAGACTTCTGGAGCCCTCACCCAATAGGTCAGGGAAATAAATACCTAGCAAGAGATTTGGTAATTTTTTGAAAAGCTCATTCCTTTTCCTTTGAAATGACAATCACACATTTCTGTCATTCTAAACGCCTGCAACACTATGAGCCACTCATTTTGTTAACTCATCAATGAGGAAAACAAACCCCAAGGATCAGTCTCTTAGCCAAGGCCACACTCTAAAGCTAGTGGCCCAGCAAGAATGAGAACATTTGTTTCCAGACACTGGGGGGTTTCCAGGATAACACTCTCCTCCACTGTAGTTTTTCTACTCAAACAATGCCCTGGCAAGACACCTTTTAATATGCATACTAAATCACCAGGCTGAGTGCTATGAATTCATCAGAGAGGGTCAAGGAAGGAATGGGGACTTTCTGGGACTTGGTATTCTTTCATTCTGACTTAACCTGATCCCATTTGCCCTAATAGAAGGTTGAGAGGTTCAGAATGTTCTCTAACCCATAAATTAGAGACAGAGAACATGTTATTTAGATAGCAACATTTTTCTTCCTAAACCCCAACATCAGGAACTGCCTACAAACCTCTAAAATTCTCACAAAGTGGCCAGCCATAGTAGAAACTAGGAGAAAGCTTTTCGTAGTGCAATTTTAGATGCCAAGATGAACGTCAAAGAGAATGATGACCTTTCTCAGTATTTTGTGGCAAACTGGTTTCTGACATTTTAATTTGGTCTCAGTTTTTCCTTCAACCCAGTCAGTCCTCTTTTCCTATCCCAGCATTTAAAGTAATGAGCAAGACCACATTTTGCACAGGGTGCCTTCTCCTAAAGTTCAGATGCCCATCTAACACCCCTCCTTCCTATTTACATACAGTTCCCTAACAGACGCCCCATTATTTCCTCTGAGAGTTTTGACCAGCCTTGTGCCTGAGGATGCTGAGTTCCATTCTGCTACCTGAATGCGCACTTTGCTTTTACTTTCACCGTGTTTCACAACCAGGCCTCTCTCGTTAGAAAGGGCACCAGTCTGGGGAAACACGATCCAGCCACCATCAGGTGATGGAATCTATTCCCATCTCGGTTAGGCCTCGGGCAGGTTGGAGGCCAGATCTTTGTCACTGGCATTTCAATACCTGGAAGCGGCCCACCAGCCCCTTGGCCCCCAGAGGGTACGACAAAACAGGGGAGGTGTGACCCAGTCGCAAGATATCAGATCGGGGTTCTAAAACTAGCAGCCCACGTGTCCACTCCAACCCCCGCCCACCCCCCCCATAGCCCGCCAAGGTTCTTGGGATTCTAACGGCTTTAACGTAACCTAGAAAAAAACAGTTTGAATCCCCACCACTCCGGCGCACCTTGTAAGCTGAAAAGGAACTAAATGTGGTTGCACAATTTATTCGACCTCAAGGTGTTTCTAAACAGCTCTTCCCAAACACACACATACACACACACACACACACACACACACACACACACCTAAAAACAAGAACGTTATAGAACCACCCACATTCCACCCCCAAGTTTTAAGGGTAGTGGGGCTGGTCGAGTAGACTGGAAGCTAACCACGCAGGCTGAGGGTGTACCGGCCGGGATTGACGATTGGGATGCGGTTTAGCGGCTCTGGGGAAAAGAGCCTGCAGTTGGTGGGGACGGGGGTTGGGGGGAGTGAGGGGTTAAGGGGTAGCAGGCCCTGTCCCCTATATACTCGGAATAATTCGATTCCCCGGAAGAACGCCGAGATCCGCTCGCGGTTCCCACGGACCTTGCCCGAGGTAGCCGAGACCTGAGGAGGGAACTGACCCGCAAGATCGCCCCGCGCCCTCTGGACCGTGGGGATCCGCGGCTCCGCACTCACCAAAGTCCAAAAACTGCTTGATGGAGAGAGGGGAGGGCGAGAAGCGTGAGTAGCGTTCGATCTGGTTGGGCACCGGCTGCTTCAGCAGCCACCGGAACAGCCGCATCCTCGCGGGGGGCTAAGTCCTAAGCCGCCAAGATGTCTGGATGACCGCGGAAACCGAGTCAGCCACGCAGCGAGGATCGCGCTGGGTGGCCAAGGGCACACCCGGCTCTCCCCCTTGGCCTTGGCGCTGCAGATGCGAATGCCGCCGCCGCCGCCGCTGCCGCGGCCGTCGCAGCAGCAGCACCAGCAACAGCAGCAGCAGCACCAGCAGCAGCAGCGCCAGCAGCTCCCCGGCTGCTGCCGGCTCGGGGCGACTCCGACAAGCTCCGCCCCTGGAGGCGGGGCCGGCCGCCGCACGTACACAGAGCGCGGGGGGCGCGGGGGGAGCGAGGCTGCGCGCGCCGGCAGCGGATTGGTCGCCGCCGCCCTCGCGTTCTTCTCCGGCACTGTTGTCGGTCGCCGTGCTTCCCTGTAGGGGCCCTGAGGTCTCCTAGGGGCGGGTTAAAGTGGCTGGCCCCGCCCCGCCCCCGAGAGCAGCTCCGCGAATGAGGAGGGCGGAGATGGAAGTGGGCTGGGACGCGGTGGGAGGCCCCGCCCAGAACCTGAGCCTACGCGACGCTCGACGCCCTTGTGACCGCAGGCTACTCTTCCGGGAAGCCTGTGCCTGATTGGCTGCGTCCTGGGTGATCGCGGCATCCTCACAATCGGGGCTTTCGTGTTTTCATCACACCTAACAGTTATGAACGGGTTCGTCACTGTCGACACTTGGTGGGGGGTAGACGTCAATGTAAATTTATTGACTGTGTCGTCTGGTTGCCCCCCCCCCACCTTTTCACCGGAATGTCACCAACTGTTACGTGTCCTCGCTTCTCCCTCTGGCCCAAATCATAAAGTTTGATAGTTAAGTGACCCGTGACCACCCACTCTGACACCCTTCCACCCCTATTGACATGTTTAGCCAAGATTCATTATAAGGTCTCTGTTTCGTGCCGCTACCGACTTTACCATCAGACACCACCTATTTTAAGATCTTAGGCACTATATCCATGACCACTCAATACCACCACCACTATAGGTAGTCCCTGACCATTTCATACGTCACCACCACCAACACCACTACTTTGTTGTTTGTTTGGTATTTAACACCGGTGTTGCTCAGGGTTCTGCACTCAGGGAATCACTCCTGATGGACTCTGGGGACAGTACAGGGTGCGGGGATAGAACCTGGGGTGGAACCTGAGTCGGTCATTTGCAAAGCAAGCGCCCCACCTGCTGTACTATCACTCTGACCCCAGGACCACTACTTTAGGACAGGGGTCTATGTTTATACTACTTATTGGGTATGCTTTGCATAATAACTACAACGCAGGACTCAATATGTAAAATCATTTTCTAATGTTAATATGTGAAGTACTGCTTGCTTTAACCCTTCCACCAGGACAGGCATTGTTTTTGGCAACCTTTACATATTAACTAACTTGTACACATTAACTAAAAGGAAAGGTGGAATGTTCTCTGAGAAAAGGTAAAATGGAAGTCACTCCTTTGGTCTGATTGGCCTACTTTTCTCGTTTATTACTGGTGCGTAGCTAGTTAATCTTTGTGCCTTCATTAGCTGTTTTTGCATCTCTACTTTGCACTTAAAAATAATAAAGACAATCAAAGACATCCAGTGGACGCCTCCACTGTCAGACTTTCAAGTCCATCTTGGTGGCGGAATGGTATGTAAATTACTGTGTGTTTTCTATTCAAGTGAAAGCCCTTTAAAAGAGACAGTAAAAAACTCTTTAGCCTGGAGCTTTGTCAGCAGACACAAGCAATCTTGTTGCTGTGTATGGAAGACAAAAAGACCTGTGGCCCCGTGGTTCCTCCACCCTCTTTCTATCAAGAGGGAGAGTGTATTTGGTAGTAGATGGATTAAGCAGTAAACTGCAGTCATGATTATGGGGGAAGAGAGAGGTTTTTCCAGACTAGTGAATCACTGCTGATCTGTGCCTACAAATTATTGAATATAACATTGCTTAAATGTTCCTTGGATTGTGATTACTTAAAGTGTCATGTGCCTAGTTTTATTAATGTTTCTCCAAAAGATGGGAGAAGGGAATGAAGGGTCAGTGATAGTAGTGGGGTGTATGAACTTTGCATATCAGTACTGTAAACTTAATACTATTATAACCATGTTACCTAAACTATAATTTTAAAAGATGACAAAAATCTGGGAACAATAGGAAAGTAGTAAATAGTGTAATAGTTCAGTTCTTAAAACATCTAGTTCTACCCAAAAGAATAGAGAGAACAAAAGGGAATGCCCTGCCACAGAGGCAGGGTGGGATGGGCAGGGTGGGGGTGGGAGGGATATTACCCATGGTGGTGGAAATGGACACTGGTGGAGGGATGGGTGTTTGATCATTGTATAGTCGAGACCCAAGCACAAAAATTTGTGGATCTACAACTGTACCTCATGGTGTTTCACTAATAATATAAAAAAAAACATCTAGTTCTAAACTTGGCTCAATCATTACTTGGCTCAATCATTACTTTGCTGTGTGACCTTAAAATCACTTAGCCTTTCTGTTTTTTGTTACTTCTTATGTCAGATAGAAATACCTCTAGATACTTATCTCCCTGATTTGTGATGATCACATAAATCATATCTAAAATAAACACAACACATAGTAGCTTTTATATAGCAATACATGCATTTTACCTAATAATTTCACATTTTCACATTAACTTGCAAGTCCAAAGCTAAACCAGTGGTTTGATTTTAGTGCTGGTTGTAGTTACTAGAGAAGAATTTTGAGATAAATAGAACTTGATGAACATTTTTCAGTTCTTTGTACACGCAAGGTCATGCTAATTCCTGTACCCAGTGAATCTCATTGCAAGATCTCTGGACCAGCAAGGGATATCATTAGGGAATTTGTTAGAATTGCAAACTCTTAGGCATCACTTTAAAACTACTAAATCAGAAAATATGTGTGTGGGGTCTGGCCATCTGTGTTGAAACAATCTATGGGAATGTTAAAGATCACTGTATCACTGTCACCCCATTGTTCATCGATTTCCTCGAGCAGGCAACAGTAATGTCTCCATTCGTCCTAGCCCTGAGATTTTAGCAAATGCCACATTGGAGGCTCTTTCCAGGTCAGGGGAATGAGACCCATCATTGCTACTGGGTTTTGGCATATCAAATACGCCATGGGGAACTTGCTAGACCCTGCTGTGTGGGCAGGATACACTCAGTAGTCTGTGGGGTTCTCTAAGAGTGAGAACTAGACGATAAGAGGGCATGTGGCCCCAAATGCAGCTGCGTGCTTGCTTCCAGGAGCTGGGTTTTATAGTCCCTGGGTCTTGGTCATTGATGGGATAACACAGCACTGGGGTCAGCTGGTGGGTGTAATGCCTACCTACTGGAAGATGGGGGGTCTGGGTGAAGGAGGCCCAGTCCCAATCTGAGCAGACTTGGAGATCTCAGCCCTGGGACCCACTTGCCTGCGTTCCTCTGCCGGTTCCTTCATGCATGAAGCTCGTCCGAACGTGTGGAGAGTGGTCTTAAGCATGGCTGTGGCTGGTTCCTGCCCCCAGCACCTGGCTGTCCTCACTGGGGCCCCTTGGAGGGGGGCGGGTTGAGTTTCCCTCCCCACCCTGAGCAGAGCCCGTCAGCTGAAGACCTCCGAAACGTTAAAGACAGGACCACAAATTCTTTGATACTCCTCACCTGAGTGTAGTCTAGATTCAGTACTCTACTGTAACAAATAGAGTAAGGGTAGATGTGATAACATCTTACTTTAAAGATCAGGTTATAAAGCCATATCAGTTCCACAAATCCCTGGACAGTACTCCTCAGAATTATCAAGGTCAGGGGCCAGAGCCACTGTACAATCATTCGATCCCAACATACCATATGGTAATCTGAGCACTAACAGGAGCAGTTACTGAGCACAGAGCCAGGAGTAACGTCTGAGCACTAGCAGGTGTGGATCGCCCCCCCAAAAAAAATCCTATAAATGTGGGAGTGATAGTACAAAGGGTAATGATGTCCTTACCTTGCACGTGGCCGACCCAAGTTTGATTTCCCCATACCTCATATGGTACCCCCCAAAAACTAGGACGGATCCCTGAGTGCAATTCCAGGAGTAATCACTGACCACCACCGCATGTGGCTCAAAACAAAAGAAAAAATAATCATCAAGGTAATTGAAAGAAAACTCTGAGCCAGAGCGATAGTAGAGCAGGTAGGGGACTTTCCTTGAACACTGACTACATGAGTTTGATTCCCAGCATCTGTGTTCCCTGGAGTCCCACCAGGATAGCCAGGTGTGGTGCTAACCACTCTCCACCACCAAAAAGAAAAATCTGAGAGACTACTACAGTCAAGAAAAACCTAAAAGGTCATGACGAGTATCATAAATGGGCATTGAATCTTGTCGAATGAGTTTTCAGCACTTACTGATGTGATTGTGTGATTTTAACTTTTCCTTTTATTGATGTGGTACATTACATTAATGGGTTTGCGTATGCTTAACCATCTGTGCATCTCTGGGGTGGATTCTGAGATAAAAGGACATTAGGTAGGAAAAACAAGGAATTTAAACTAAAGAATGAACTTTTGACCAAACTTGTTTGATAGCTTGCCAAATTTTTTTCGTAAGTTTTGAAAGTGTTCCACATCAGTATGTGTCAGGGAAACTTGTGAGGCATATACAAATTGAGTATACAATCTTCTCCATTTTGCTATAAATATGAAATTATTCTAAAAAATAAAATCAAATGTGCAATACACTATTGTTAGCTATAGTTATCATGTGTCTCTTACATCCCAGCCCTCCTGGATCTTATAATAGCAAGGTTTGAAATTTCATAAGGAAAAAAATATGTGAGACGACAGATGTTAATTAAACAAATTTAAGGTAAACATTTCACTCTTTAATACATTTGATATATATATAAAATCATGTTGTTCACATTAAACTTATTCAATCTAATGTGTCAATCATATATCAATAAAACTTGGGAAAATAATTTGGTTACAAAATAGTTTAAAATAATATATTGAAATAATACAGAGGAAACGTATGATAGCAATAGAAATAAGTTTATAACCATAGAATAAACTCCTGAACACTTTGTTAAGATTTCAGAAATAACAGAAGTAAAGCCAATAAATGACCAAAGTAGTACTTAGTGGAAGTTTATTGCACACGAATGAAGAAAAAAGTTTGACAACTCGAAGAATTCAAAACAAAATTACTGGGAATGAAGTTCAGGGCTGTTATAAAGCAATATATATAGTGAGGTGGAAGTGACGGTCTTTCAC